CCAGCCGAGAGACATAGTCCCTCCAGCGTGTCCTGGGTCTTCCCTGGTGCCTACTCCCGGTGGGACATGCCCAGAACACTTCCCTAGGAAGGCGCCCAGGAGGCATCCGAAACAGATGCCCGAGCCACCTCAGCTGGCTCCTCTCGATGTGGAGAAGCAGCGGTTCTACTCTGAGCTCCTTCCCGGGTCCAGAAGGAACCGGGAAAGTGACAGTTCAACTAATGAAATATGTATTTAACTTGAACGTACTTACTTGTAAAAGTTAGAGGTGTTTTGAGCTTTAGGAGAGCAATGTCATAATTATTGGTTTGTCTGTCAAACTTTTCATTCCTGATGATTTTCCTAACTGCTTTGCCATGACTTAAGCTCATCAAGCTGACATCCCCATAGGCTACTATCCACATGCGAGAATCATTATACCTGCCATGGAAAGATGAACAGGGTAACATAGTCAAACATAATGAAAACAAATCTTGAGTATCTATCAGAAGAAAGAATCAAAAAACAAATATGAACCTGCCCTTCATGCTTACACGTTTACTGTCAGTGATGCAGTAACTTACTGTACTTAATGAATCATTGCAGTAAAGGTCAAGTTAAGAATACTGATAACTGTCTATAAAAGCATGCTGATGTCATTATTTGTAAATAGGACACACACAAGTACTGTATTATTTGGGCCATAACTGTGTTAAAAGACATCTTCAGTGCATGGACAGCAGACAAAGCAGAGCAGTAGCTCCTGAAACAAAGTGAACTTTGAAACAGTAATGTGACTGTATAGAACTGCTCAGGTAAAGGAAAGCAGAGATTGAGCTCACTTTTCAAAGCAGTGTGCAGCAGATAGGATCCAGTAAGGGCTGATGATAGAGCCTCCACAAATGTGCGAACCAAGAACCTGAAGGCTAACCTGCCAAGGCCAGGCTCCAAGTACTGCCTCTCTACCACCCACAATACGAGTACTGGGGGCTGCTGAACTCTTTCCACAGTCTGAAGATAAAGGAAAACAGTTTAGCATGTAACTTTTCAAAGGTCAAAAATACGTTATCTTTTATATGACTCTTTTGTATGTGTGCTCTTTAGATAGCAATGTTGGTTCACCACTTTGCTCCAGAATGAACTATCTCTACAGCTTTTGGATGGACTGCAGTGCATTTTACAGAGATTCATGGTCCCCAGAGGATAAAGTTTAAAAACTTAGTGACTGCCTGACTTTTCATCTAGTGCCATCAGGATGTTGACATTTGCAATTCTGAGTGATATATTTCAATAAATATTTGATTGCCGTGAAATTTGGCATTCATGTTCCCTTCAGGGTGAATTGTAATTCCCTTCTTTGTAAAGTTTCATGATGTTTTATTTTTTAGGTATTTTGCCAGTTTGTCCAGAGAGAGCACCACTTCCTCATTACTTGTATCACATGATTTTGTACATATTTCAAGAATGCAGTTATGTTCCAGTTATAGAAGCAGCTTACCAATACAATGAAGTGTGACAGCGCTGGCTGAACAACTTTGGCTAAAATGGAAACAAAGGATGGCAAAAACAAATATTAAAGACAGCAAAACAAAACGTTCAATAATTATTTCAGAGTTCTACATTAAACTGAAAGACTGTTTCGGGTTCCCATGGAAATGCATTTCATCTCTAAGACTGTTTTGGGTTCCCATGGAAATGCATTTCATCTCTGCAGTACATACAGTGTAAAAAGTTATTTTATCCGGCAATAGGTGGGTTGGTATACCTGTAAGTGAGCTGTGACTGTACATACAATCCATGGTTACTTCCAGGCTTCAGCTTCATGTATCCTTTGGAGGCTGAAGAACCTACACTGGTTTGGCCGTAAGACACATAATCCTGGCTGTGGGACAGACACAAGGACAAACACATGAACACAAAACAGCAACAAATAAATGCCATTTTAGCAGCAAAATTCAGTGTGATCCGTTATTTGTTGACTTTTATACAGCGGTTAGACAAGACTCTGCAGAAGTAGAACATGAAGAAGATGAAGGTGGTGAAGAAGACTGCTGGCACCTGCTGTAGCCTAAATTCTCACACACAGCTCTCCCGTAAATGTTGTCCCAGTTTTCAGCACACACAGGCATCCACATGTGGCTGTCTGCTGAGTAACTCTCCAACATGAAGTTGCTCCCATAAAAGCGAACTGTAAAGCAGAAAGAACAATACTGTTCAGCCACTTTGCTGTTCACCAGTGTGATGCACAAAGGCAGATGCAGTACTTATGTGTTGCTTTCACTGTCTTACAGCATGCAGATTCATCCTCCCCGTGTGAACAGTCCATTACGCCGTCGCACCACTGGGAGGGGCTCAAACACTTCCCATCCTTTTCACATGACATACCCAGTAAACACTGGTAGTATACTGCAAACACACATACAGTAAACAGCACCTGTACAAGAACACAAAATCTACTGTTCCTAACAACTAATAATAATAACTAAATAACAAGAGGTGTGATATACACCTTTAGTGCTCACACAACTCGCTAACAACTTAAAGCAACTACACAGATTTGAAATCTAATGGACTTACAGAAGTACCAGAGCAAGACGCCAAGCACTGCCAGGATAATGAGCACACACAGAGCTGAACACACGATATACTTCCAGTGACATTTCTTTGTTCCTGCAAGTAAAAATATAGTCACTGATACAACTGAAAGGCATCTTTTTTAAACACTAGTGTCTTTGAGTACTTTTGATTATGGAAAAATAAATGCAAATCCCACACCTTTCAAGATTTACATAGTATATTACATGCAAACAATAGAATTTGCAATTAGACCTGACAAGCAAGCTTATTGAATGTATTTACAGTGAAAAGGGAAGTAACACTGTGAGGGTGAGTTTTCTACCACAGTACTGTGCACTTCCTTGACTGTTTGAAAATGGAAAACGCTTATGATATTTTAACAAATCTGAGGAAGTCTTGCTACAGTTCAGTTGCCATGCCCAACCTGATCCTTTTCATACAGCCCTGTACAAGGCTTTAGGAATTAGGCCATCAGTGTAGTGAAAAATAATGAGGAATCAAGTAGAGGACCAAAAGTAGTTTTCTATTAAACTAATGTTAGCTATTTTACACTACTAGTCATACCATTAATACAATATGAAACTGAGCACACGTTATACTGCTTATGAACTCATCTTTTCCTTTATAAAAAGAAGAAAGTGTTATTTCTTTAAAAATAACATACACCCACATAGTCTCTGTTGAAAGTAAAACTAAATAAGTGAATGCTTCTGCGGCCATGCAGGTAGATGTTTTTGTTCATTTCAGTGTATATTTGCCTTGTGACTCACTGGAAATTACTGTTTACCCACCTTTTTATCCAGGTGGTATCACTTCATCAAGGCTTGTGATAAATCAAATATTTCTGTACCTTTCTTTTGTCTTGTATTATGTGGTGTTCCAGGTGTTACGGTGTAGTGGGTGTTGATCTGTGGAGTCACAGTAACATAGCTGGGTGTCTCTTGAGGGAGAGAGGGGTATATCCCCTGCTGTGGATTGTATGGAAGGGGTCTTCCTTCATCATGCTGGAACCCTTTGTTGTCATAAATTGGACAATTTGCCTACAGGTAAAAAAAATGCTGTAGTTAACACTAACAGACAATTACTGTGGTAATCTAAATAATGAGCTGGCTTTATTCAGAGGAATATGTAATTTTGTATTAGTAAATGTGATGAGCAGTGGTATGAAAAAGTACATTGTTATAAATGACGAAACTAAGAAATGCTGTGTTGAACTGAGCTCACCTGTTTATTATTCATACTGAAACTGGTTCCACTGGCTGGAGAGGGTCAAACCTGGAAAAGAGTATGCGGCTTTTATTATAAACAAAATGAATGAAGCACCAGTGATAAGTACCATTATGTGATGTATCTTATGAATAATAGCATTTAGTAAAGCAATATTCATAAAACAAAAAAAAAAAGATTATGCAGCTTGCTTATTAGTGTTAGGCCACAAGCAATTACATAAAAATTAACTAAGGACATTATTACACATCATAATCCTCAGAGATTTTATGTTTCTTAAGAAACAAGCTACACTGTCTGCATTTTCAACAACAACAAAAGTGCTAACATTTACTTGACTTGGCTAAATTAGAGTTGTCAAAGAACTAAATTCCTTCAGCGTTGTGATTCACCCTCTCCAATCTGTTTCTCCCTCTGATTTGTGTTCACTCCATTCCTCCTTATAATCAACAGCCATGCCCACACCTCTTCCCACGGTGTGCACAACCCAGCCTGTTGTTCACAACTTCATTTGCGCAACATTTTACAGTAGAAATGATACATTCATTACAGCGGTGGTTTTAGGGTAAGATGAATGAAGCAGAAAATAAATGAACTTGGGAATGTTTTCACTCAGAAGTGGGCATCCATTGATCTGTTAGGATTAGGAAAACCTAGTTTAGAAACTTAATTCTGCAGTGTAGTACACACATGAAACCTGGTCCTGTGTATCATATTGTACATACAGTATTTATGGCACAACTTTGCATACTAATGACATTCCCTAGCAAACCATCAGGTCCTATTGATTTCATAAAGTAGTTTGCTGAAATGGCAATGAAAACATTTCTGGGTTACAGCAAAGCAGCAAATACATGCATACATTTTTTAAATCTCATTTTCCTTCATCAATCTGTGCAGCTTTCCTCTTCAAACTGCAGAAATTCTGGAACAAAGCTGCACTTGCTTCTCTTCCTACCTAAAACGTTTGTCTAAAACCCATAGAAAAAAGAATCTATTAAAGACGTGGCAGCTCTTACAAATGGGAAAATCGAAACAAGTTCCTTAACGTTTTCCAGGAACCAAAACTGCCACTGCTATAAGGACCACAGTGTGTCAAAGGTAGAGCGAGCAGAGTCAACAGGTGACAAGTGCTCATTGTTTGTGCAACCTACATATGCCACTCATCAACAGGTGACAAGTGCTCGCTGTTTGTGCAACCTACATATGCCACTCAGACTGAGCCCTAGAACATAAAAATAAGATAAAGTCAGGTAAAAAGGCATAAGAGATTTGGTTCTTACTTTGTGTATGCTGTTCCGTGTCCCAGTAAAGAGAAGCGTCACCTACTGTAGCTGTGTTTAATATTCAAACAAATGGGCAGGTAGGCTTAAAGGTACTGCTGGCCAAATGACTTTCATACCATGTTAATATTTGACTCAGCGCTTGACTAAGTTATTTAGCAGGAACAGGAAGGGATGAAAGAGTCATCCAGTAAATGACAGGAAGGAACAGAATGTCCCACTGAGTGGTATCAGCTCAACCTCACCTCTTTATCGTGCTGCGTTTAATGAACTTTGATGTAATAGGATGCACACAGACAGGGAATGAACCGAGAATTAGATGTTTTTGCACGAGCAGAATTAGCCCAAGTAGCTTGTTTGTGCAAAAAAGGCAGTAAGTTGAAACTGTGTGTATTGATTTGACTTCATGATTAATTTGTGCAATTCTTTTTTTTTTAATTGAAACAAAGTAACATATTAACAAAACAGTACCGAACATGGGAGACAAGACAACAGTTACATGACATTACAAAAGGATATAGAGTGTTTAACAAGGTTGTGTGTGAGGTGTGGGTATTTCCAACTTATGCAGTCTATGAAATGCAAGAAAGGAAAAAGGAGGGGGAGTAAATAAAAAAAAATTACCAATAATAATGATGATAACAGTACTATTAATAAAATCAGCCTGTTACATTTCTAGAGGTTGGTGGGAATGTGTGTGGCCTCAGCCCCAGGTGTTTGGTTCAAGTTGAAATGTGTTAAAAATGGTTCCATGTGTCATAAAAAGTTGATAAACTATTCTTGTGAGTGGATGTCATTTTATCTAATGTGATGTATTCTACGAGAAGGCTGGTCCAGTGGTTTATATGTGGTGATTTTTTGATTTAGAAAGATAGTTTTCTTGGCAATAGCTACAGAAATGAGGAGTGGGTTATTGTATTGAATTGGTAGGTGGTCGATTTCTATGATATTACCAAGTAAGCAAAGTGATGGAGAAGGAGGAATTCTACAGCCCAAGATGGTGGAGAGTTTCTCTGTCACTGCTATCCAGAGGGAATAAACTCGTTGGCAGGTCCAAGTAGCATGAAAGTAACTGTCAGTGCAATCTAGAGTGCATTGTGAGCAGATGCCTGTGTCAGTAAATCCCATTTTGAACATTTTACTTTCTGTAATATGGGTCCTATAAATAGTCTTGCATTGTGTAAGTTGTAAGTTTACATTGCTGGTCATAGAAAAGATGTTATTGCAAATTTCTGTCCA